TATATTATATTATATTATATTTTATTATATTATATTATATTATATTATATTATATTATATTATATTATATTATATTATATTATATTATATAGTGTCAGTTTGTGTACTGTATGATTTCCTGCATGTGTATTGTATAATCCTGAAGCGTGTGTTCTGGTTTCCTGCAGGGTGGATCATCTCTACACGTTTTTCGTGGAGTGGTCTCCAGAAAACATCTACAGTCACAAACACAGCAGAAAGCAGCAGGAGTTTCTGCAGGTTCATCCCGACGCTCTGAGTGTGATCGGCTCGCTGCTCAAGGATTCTCCCCCTGAAAACTGGCAGGTGCGCTGGCAATAGTCATTCATTTTCCTTCAGCTTAGTCCCTTTATTCATCAGGGCTCACCACAGCGCAATGAACCACTAACTAATCCACTTAACTATTCCAGCATATGTTATATGGAGTGGATGCCTTTCAAACTGCAACTCAGTTTCTTAAAACAAGACAATGTAGCTCAATCTAGAAAAGGCTTCTTAATGTAGGAATTTTTAGATATTAGGACTAGAAACAAGATCTATGTATCTAAGTAAGAAAAGCATTTTTTGGAGAGTGCAGTATTACTGGCAACCAAAATTAACAGTGATATACTTCAAATTTTACAGCAATTTTTTACTGTGCAGCTTCATATTCACGCATTTATAATCACACATTTATAATCAGATTTCACACATTTGTTCCTGCTAAAATTTTTCAAAAAGATTTAATAAAGAAATTTACTGAAGCTAATATCTAAAAATGTTTAAACAAAAAACGTAATTTAAGAAATATTTTTAAATAATTACAATTCCACGGGAGCACTTATAATGTTGTCTTCAGTCATGCATATATATATATAAATATACTGTAGAATATTAGTAAAGAAGAATAAAAGTATAAATAACACCACACAAATATAAGAAAAAAGAGCTCACTATCAATGTCACACATTGTAAATAATTGCAGTAATGTTTACAGTATTACTGGCTGTCAAAATTGGCAGTAATGCTGTATATTAGTTTCTATTTTACAGTGCACATTTTAATCACAGTTTTTTTCTTGCTAAAATTCTACAAAACTAATTTGACAAAGAAATTTTAATAAATAATATAAAATAAACATGACTTGAGAAATATTGAAAAATAATTACAATTTCACAGGAGCACTAATAGTTTTGTTTTAAGTCATGCGTCTATTTATATATATATATATATATATATATATATTTCGAATATATTAGTAAAGTAAAGAAAAATAAAAGTATAAATAACAGCATTCTAATATAAGAAAAAGATATAAAAAGAAAGAGCTCCTATAAAATGTGATTGCCTAATTATTTTAAGGGATTTTGAATAATTTCTGTGAAGTGAATTAAGCTTATTAAATGCTCCTATTTTCACCTTGAAGTGGCGTAATGTGAAGAATGAAGCTGCTGTCTTCTGAAGAGCTGAAGTGAAATGCTGTGGAACTATCAAGTTTTTATTAATTAAAAAAGCAACAGAAATGATCTTCATTAGATTAGACTTAACTTTATTGTCATTACACATGTACAAGTACAAGGCAACAAAATGCAGTTTAGGTGTAACCAGCAGTAAGTAAGCAGTAAGCAGTAATAGCAGCAAGTGCAGGATGCAGGTATCAGTTATAAAGTGCAGTTATAGAGAAACTATGGTGATATTTACAGATGGATGTACGATCAACATTATATACAGGTTGGATTAGCTATGAACAGAGATTTACAATATATGAATATATGTACTGGTTGATATTAATAATCAGAAGTGTGCAGATAAATAAACATGATGTATATGCACAGTGGGTGTGTACATAATCACAGATGTCCATGTGCTGTGGCTATGTACAGTTCAATTAAGTGAATCAGTGCAATGCAGTGCAGTGAATATGTGCAATTATTAAATGTGCAAATGTTAAACAGTGCAGTGACTGTGAGGAGTTTAAGTTAGAGGAGAGTGGGGGGTGTATTGGGGGGCAAAAGAGTCATTGAGGGGCAGAGTTGAAGAGGGAGACAGCTCTGGGGAAAAAGCTGTTGCTCAGTCTGCTGGTTTTTGTCCGGGGGAGCCTGAAGCGCCTGTCTGAACACAGGAGAGAAAACAGTCTGTGAGTGAAGGCGGGAAACTAAACTCTGCCGCAGACAGAAACGTCCTGTCTGACCATATTTGGCAGCTCTTCCTCTTTTGAGTGGCTTTTTCTGAAAAACGAAAGTGCTTTGGAAAAGAGAGAGGTGTGTGTGTGCTTGTGTGAGGGCCACGCTAGATAAACACACTGATCTGAGCGCACAGTTCAGACTCTACACACACAGCAGCATGAGGAAACAGCAGAGCGTTCAGATCCTCTACTTCGCCAATGGCTCCGACGGGCCCTTTGTGGAGGTGTGAAGCGTGGAGAACTCAGCAGAGTGCATGTATTATTGATTATTGACTGATGATTGTGTGTGTGTGTGTGTGTTTTCCTGCAGATTGTGTCTGTGAAGCAGCAGAAGCGCCGCACCAGCGTCTGCAGTTCTGCTGATTCTGAGTCTGATGATCTGCTGCCGGTGTTAATAAACCACAGTCAGATCTTAAAGGAGCTTCACCTGGAGCAGGTCAGAGCCAGAGATTTATTAATTTATTTATCAAATAATTAAATACAATTATTTAATGTGTGATTGTCTGCAAGGATAATATAAAGACAGACTAGGTCATATAAATAAATAAATAGATAAATAAATAAATAAATAAATAAATAAATAAACGAAAAAATGAATAAGATAAGTGAATAAATGAATAAATATTTAAATAAATAAGTGAATAAATAAATAAATGAATAAGCGAATAAATGAATAAATAATTAAATAAATAAGCGAATAAATGAATAAATAATTAAACTAATAAGCAAGTAAATGAATAAATAAATAAATAAATAAATAAATAAGTGAATAAATTAATAAATAAATAAACGAATAAATGAATAAAATAATAATTAAATAAATGAATAAATAATTAACTAAATAAATAAATAAATACAGCACTCAACAAATATAAGTTCACCCCTATCAAATCTCTCATTTTGATTAATATTTTCAATAGGATACTCCACAATATTATATCTGTGCATATACATTAGATTAGTTAGTACTGAAGACAAATCTGGAGATTATCTAACTTATAATAACCGACCAAAATTAGTACATCCAAATGTATATGTTAGGGAAAAATATTAAATATTGAATTTTATTATTTTTTAAAAAGCAATTTTCAAGAGAAACAAAGAAATAATGAAATATTGTTGAAATTTAAGTTTAGATAAATGTTATGGAAATGTAATCTGACTACTTTTAGGCTACATTAAGATTACTTTTGTGGTAGGATTTTTCATTAATTTCATGGTAGCATTATCTGACTACTTTTTGATTACATTTAGATTACTTTTATGTTACATTTAGATTTTATATGGTAGCATAATCTGAATAATTTGGGTTAAATAAAGATGACTTTTGTGGTAACATTTAAATAATTTTTTGGTAATGTAATCAGACTATTTTTCGATTACATTTAGATTACTTTTATGGTAACTTAATCTGACTACTTTTGGATTACATTTAGATTACTTTTGTAGTAACATAAACTGATTACTAGTGGGTTACATTTAGATTACTTTTATGCTAACATAATCTGACTATTTTTGGATTACATTTAGATTACTTTTGTGCTAACATAAACTGATTACTTTTGAATTAAGTTTAGATTACTTTTGTGGTACCATTTTGATTCACTTTTTGAGAACGTAATATGACCTTTTTTTGGTTACACTTAGATTACCTTTGCGGTAAAATTTATCATTAATTTTATGGTAACATTATCAGACTTCTTTTATGTTAACATTTAGATTTTATATGGTAAGATAGTCTGACTACATTTGTAGTAACATTTTAATAATTTTATGGTAATGTATTCAGACTATTTTTAAATTACATTTAGGTTACTTTTATGGTAACCTAATCTGACTACTTTTGGATTACATTTTGATTACTTTTGTGGTCACAAACGTACTATGTTTGGATTACGTTTAGATTACTTTTGTGGTTACATTTTGATTCATTATTTGTAATATGGCTTGTTTTTGGATTACATTTAGATTACTTTTATGGTAACATAATCGGACTACTTTTGAATTACATTTAGATTACTTTTGTGTTAACATAAACTGATTACTTTTGATTACATTTAGATTACTTTTCTGGTAACACAATCGGACTATGCATGGACTACATGGGTGTGTGCGTGTTTCTGATCACTAATGTGTGTGTGTCTGTGTGTGCAGCTGATGAGCCATATCCCGGCGCGGGCTCAGGGTAATCAGTGGAAGCTGGTATACAGTACAGCAGTGCACGGCACCAGTCTGAGAACACTGTACAGACAGATGGCGGAGCTGGACAGACCCGTACTGATGGTGATCAGAGACACAGATGGACAGGTGAGACACACATAAAGACTGCATATACAGTTAAAGTCTAATTTTTCGCCCCCTGTGAATTTTTTTTCATTCAAATATTTGCCAAATGATGCTTATCAGTTTCAGGAATTGCACACAGTATTTCCTCTAATATTTGTTCTTCTGTAAAAAGTCTTATTTGTTTTATTTTGTCTAGAATAAAATCAGTTTTTAATTGTTTTACATTTAGATAAATGATTTATATAAATATGTTAACTGATATATATATATATATATATATATATATATATATATATATATATATATATATATATATATATATATATATATATATATATATATATATATATATATAAATATATATATATATATATATAAATAAATATATATATATATATATATATATATATATATATA